TTTAATTATGCCTTTCTACTCGACCTGACAGCACCATGAAGACCCCAGCCTCATCACTCCTCTCACAATTGCACAAAAGTGACCTCTTTCACTGTTGCCTTTCCACCCAAGGAGACACACCTGTTCCTTCTTGCTATTTATAACCACAAATCTTGTATATCAACGACAGAACAGACACTTTTGAAATGGAAGAAAACCACCACTGGGCCTTCCACCTCTAATAAGTCATCGTGTTTGCTGGGACTTGCGTTTGTGAGCCTAGGCGGGTGAGCAGGTGCGAGCTCTGGGCCTGGCATCCACTCTATGCCTGAGATGGGGAGTCTTGCCTTTGATAAAAACTGCACATGTGATTAGACCACAGGAGCAGACGGGTGCAGGAACGGGTCCTCAGGCCCCGTGAGGATGAGGGTGTGCCTGCTGCTCCCTGGGCTCCCTGTTGCTTAGGGGCCAGCCACAGAGGGGTAACCCTGAGCTTCCACCCATTTGCTGCATGAGTGCTGGAACTTGGCCAGGGCATGGTCCTGCTCTGCTGACCCAGAGCACTCTGCTCCCGCACTGACGGCACGGGCACAGCGCCCATCACGACTCTGGCACGTGGGCAGTCTCTAGTTCAGAGAATTAGTGACACGACCCTGAGTCCCTCTCCAGGTACCAGGCTGAAACTCTGCCCAGAGTGGTAGAAACTGAAACTGTTGCTGATGTGGCCAGGTGGCAAAAGCAGTGAAGCAGGATCCTGGCAAAGTGAAGAGCAACTGTCCCCTCCCCACACAGGGCTGGAGCCACTTCAATCTTCCTCCCTGTGAATCAGAACCAATCCTGCTCCAAGCGCACCGAATATCCCGGAGAAGTGGCCTGGTATCCACTGAGGCTCCACCACACCATGGGGAGAGAGGTCCCCCACTTCTCCCACAGCAGGGGTGAGTGAGGCCGAGGAGCAGGAGAGGAAACACAGAGCTCGCCCACCACGCAGGACGCTACCTGCCCGGCGCGGACAGGAACGCAGGCACCAAACACACACTGCCGGCGGGTTAAAGCAATCCAGATGTAGCCCTCGCCGAGTCTGGCGCGGACCTCAAGCCGAGGGTTCCAGCTGGGCCCGCCAGGCCCGGAAAGCGAGCGAGGAGCTCGGATCCCGCTGCCCGCACGGCCGCGGACGGCGCCCCGCGGTCCCGCCCTCGGTCCGGGGAGGGCGAGGCCGGCCGACCTGCGGGACCGCGCGCGCGGGGTGGGCGCGGGGTGGGCGCGGGGCGGGCGCGGCGTCCCGCATGGCGCGGCGGCGGGCTCCGGGCGAGCCTGGAGCAGAGGTGGCAGCTCGAGGACGAGGCTCGACGGCCGAGCGGGCGCGGGAAGGCGGGGCGCGCAGAGCAGCGAGGAGCCCGCGCCGGCTCTCCCCGCTCTCTCCCTCGCGCTGCCCGCCCGCCAGCCCCGCGCCGCGCCGCGCCCGCGACAGCCACCGGGAACGTCTCCGGGGGCGCGGGGCTTAGCAACAGCGCACCAGCCGCAGCCGCCCTCTCTGCGCCCGCCCCGCAGCCGCGCCAGCCAGCCGCGCCTGGCCCTGGAGGCCGGGCGGGGCCGGGCTTTGAACTTGCGCCCACGCCCTCTACTCCTCCAGTGAGTGGCTGAAGGCGGCCCCGGGGACCCTTCAGCGGCCCCGCCTCTCCCCGCCCCGCGGAGTCTAGCCCTTCCACTCCCCTCCTTCCTTCCCCGCGCGGTTCTCTGCCGAGCGCGCGCTGTGGAACCTGGCGGGGTCGGGTTTTGAACGCGGGCTTCCCCGATGTTCTGCGTGATTGGCAGCCCAAGGCAACCCGGGAAGCCTCAGCAATCCGAGCCGCTCCCGGACGTGCAGGGGCCAGACCCCCCAGCACAGACTAGCTCCCAGAGCAGCCCTACTATAACATCCTTGTTGTCCCCCAGATTTGGAAACCTGCTCACACTCTGGTCCACACCCATGGCCTGAAAGACAGAGGCTGCAAAACATACTTCCAGCCTCATGGCTTCCTGGGACCTTCTGACGGCTGCTGGATGGCCCCTTGCATTGTTGCACCGCTTCCCAGCAGTGCACACCTACCCTTCATATTTGCACGTTCCTCTCAGGTCTGCAGACCGGGGCCTGGAGGCCCATATCCTCAGGTACTGGTTCCCAGACCCTTCCTGGGAGAGATGATGAGGGCACTGGAAAACCATAATCCCCGCTCCACTCCACCACTGACATGATTACAGAGTGGCCTTATTTTTGCCTTGACTGATCAAGTCCCGGAGTAGTCCTGTCTGATGTTGGTGCGCTGTGGAATTGCCCACGCCACACAGAACACCAAGGCCAAGCTGACAGTCCCAGGCCAGCTCCCAGATGTGAGGGGCTGTGTTTCTCTTTATCACACATAACAAGAAGCCTAGAGGAAGAAGCCATGTTTCTTCAGCGGCTCAAGGATGATCTTAGGAATCCAGTCTCTTTCCAGACCTCCACATGGCCACCTTCAACATACTGCCTTTTCTCCTCAGACTTGTTACCTCAGGGTCACAAAACAGCTACACCAGCCACGCACGGGACGCTACTGTGAGAAAAGAACTTCTGGTTCTAGCTGAGCTGGTGTGTTGAGCAGATAACTCAAAGGCGCCAACAAAGGACAATTTTCTTTTTTTCTTTTTATTTTTTGTTGAGACAGAGTCTTGCTCTGTTGCCTGGGCTGATTGCCATGGCATCAGTCTAGCTTACAGCAACCTCAATCTCCTGGGCTCAAGCGATCCTTCTGCCTCAGCCTCCCGAGTAGCTGGGACTACAGGCATGCGCCACCATGCCGCGCGCGCGGGGTGGGCGCGGGGTGGGCGCGGGGCGGCGCGGCGTCCCAGCTTTGTTCGCGGCCGGGCCGCGCAGGTCCCGCTGCCACCCGCCGCGGCGCTCCCGGCCGAGCACGCCGCGTCTGGGGAGCCGGCGGGGGCGGCGGCGGCCGCAGCCCTCCGCCCGCGGCGGCGGGCTGGCGCGTTACTCTGCACGGCCGCCTGGTCAGGCCCGCGCTGTCGGCGCGGTCCCTGGTCTCTCTGGCGCCTGCGCTGGGTCTCCCCGGTGCGCCGACGCTGTCTGGTCCTTCCGGCGTCCGCGCTGGTCTCCGGGGCGCCCTGGCGGGCGGCGGCGCCGGAGCCCGAGGCGGGCGCTTGGCCTGCTCTCTCAAGCGCGCGGGACCGCCGCATGTGCCGGAGTCCCACCCGGCGGACTTGGGCGGGCGGCTGCGCGCTCCGTCTCCGGGTCCCGCAAACGGCGTCCGCCGCCCGAGGCTGGGCGCCCCGAGCCCGCGCGCGCCGGCTTCGGGCATGTCTCTGTCGTCCCTGAGTCCCGGCTGCTCCCTCTTCCGCCCGGAAGGTACTACTGCTCCGCCCGGTCCCGAGCTCGGCGCGTGCCGGACGTCGGGGTGTCCGACGCCCCGCGCAGCCCGAGGAGGCCCTGGGGCCGCGCGGCGCGTCTTTGGCGCGTCGCTGTGCTGCGCTGCGATTCGCTCTTGGCGCGAGACCGAGGAAGTTGCTGGGCGCCAAGTTGGCTGAGGGGGCTCGAGAGTTGGACCGG